CATCATCAGCTGCAGTCAGGCCATCAACACGTTTTTAAATCTAACTGTGATTTCAAGTCTTTGTATGAAGGCTGTTGTAGAGACGTGCGATGAAGAGAGGATCCCGACTGAACTCACTCTGGTTTCTGTATTCAGAGAGAAAAAACAATAAAGGAAGAGTTCTCCAGACAAACAATGGTGAGCAGTGATCGGTCGTTACACTCTGGCAGCTGGTTGGTGGAAAGGATGGGCTGCTGCTCTTTAATCATTGAACGCAGTCGGTCCAGAGAGTCTCATGGCAGTAAATCCACACCACCGCCTTCCCCTGTTCTCCTCTGTCTACGAGCCCTTTGAATCTGAACATGTCCCTTACTCAGGTCACTACCACGTGCATTCTTACCTCCTAGCATCTCCCATTTGTTGACAAACTTATTGTTCTCTGTAATTATTATTTTTTACTGCTATCTTGTATGTATTGACTGTCTAATCTGTAAAGATTTGAAAGGTACACTTTCCAATGTACTTTCCACAAATCCAATGTTTTAATAATATTAAAATTGTTAATCAGATTGTCTTTTATTTCAGTGTTCATTGAATGTATAAAAATTTTCTGTATGTGCAGAACAAACTAATTTCTACTCCAAAGCTCTTAAGGGCCTCCACCAGCACTGTGGGACAGGCAATATGACTTGATGTTGGATCAGCCCATTCAAACATTTTTTACTGTCAGGTTAGAAAGTGCATACAGAGCATCCACAGACAATAGACTTTTCAGGCGGGACTTAAAAGAAGACACTGACTTCAACATCCTGATGTCCTCAGGCAGATCATTCCAGAGCCTCAGGGCCCTGATAGCAAAGGCTTTATCTCCTTGTGTTTTCAACCTGCTCTCTGGGGTCTGAGGCTGCGCATTGAATTGTAACGGGTTAAAAGATCAAAAATATATCCTGCAGCCCGGCCATGGAGAGCATTAATAATCAATGAGACCTTAAATCAATCCTAAAACAAACAGGGAGCCAATGTAAAGAAATTAAAATAGGTGTGACGTGGTCGTACTTTATAGTTTTGACTAATAACCTCGCAGGGGTCAGAGTTTTTTAATTTATACATAAGAACAAACTGCTGCAATAATCTAGGTGAGAGGCGATACAAACATGAACAATCTCTAGCATTTAAGATTTTCAATTCTGGTAGAAAATGACTGGACAAACTTTTCCTTGTGTTGTTCTCAAAAAGGACACCAAGATTTCTAGCTACAGGCTTAATGTGAGTAGACAAGTGATCAATAGAGGGCATAATATGTTCAGTGGGGCACACCGTCATTAACAGGAGAAAAGACAGACTTAAAATCATTAGACACACAGAACTTTAACAAATAACCAAACGATGATCTTTTCCTAAACCCAACAAAGTAGTTTTAGTGCCTAAATCTGACCAAATTGGGCCGTTTGACAACATTAAGAACGTGCCATTTCAATTGTGAAGGTTTTAATTTGAAAATCTAACTGATTGTTGCCTATTTATAGTTGCTAACTTGACTGTGGAGCCCTAAATGTAAAAAAAAAAAATAGCCTAAAGGGGCGTGTGAATTTCCCCCGTTCTGGTTTAGGCTCTGTATCCCTGCCTCTGCTGAATTACTCGCTAGCCTTGCTCAATGTCCCGCCCACGGCAGTGATTGGTCAACAATCACATCCAGTGAGCAGTGGAGTTGTGTGTCGACGGGACGGCAGTGGAAGAGGACTCCATGTACCTGTGAAGCCAAGAGGGTTCAGGCCGTGCTGGAAAATAACGGTGGCCACACAAAATATTGACACTTCGGGCCCAATTTGGACATTTTCACTTAGGGGTGTACTCACTTTTGTTGTCAGCGCTTTAGAGATTAATGGCTCTGTGATGTGTTATTTTGAGGGGACAGCAAATTTACACTGTTATACAAACTGTATACTCACTACTCTACTTTGTAGCAAAGTGTCATTTCTTCATGAAAAGATATCAAATATTTGAAGGTTGTACTCACTTTCTTGAGATGCTGTAAATTTCTTGCTTGAAGTCAGGAAGAGAAAACAGTGTGTTATAGCTTTTGAACTGAAGCACAGCAAGACCAGAAAAACTGTAAAGAAATGTAAAACTGATCAGGTCACATTTAACAGGCCAGTAGATGATGTTAATGATTAATGTTTGTTTTTTGCATTACCGTTTCATTAACACGTTAACATCACATTCAGGTCACAGTGTTCAGAGAAATAAACACATAATTACAACCAAGAAATGTCATTTTTCCGTCACGCTTTTTTGGTGGGGATCTCCTCCCACATGAGATCGAGCTGGAAGGAAACATGATGATATTTGCATTTTAGTTTCCGGCTTCCGGACGTCACGCTGGCTATGAGCCAACTTACCCTGAACAAAGAAAGAGCTTTCATTAGTGATCACTCTGGAAGGAGTTACAAGAAACCAAACAGACAGAGTTGGGATTCAGATCTTGATCTTTTACTGCAGTTTGAAGCAGCAGAAGAAATTTCAAAACTCCGAGATAAAGAATTATAAAGCAGGAAGAGTTTTGTTACAACAACAGAGGAGCAGCCACCTCGTGTCCTCCACCTTTACTGAACACAGAGCACTTTAAATGTTTACGCTCTTAAAGTCAGTCTCAACATTCAACATTAATTCCAGCACTCTGCACTCCCCAGACCTGAGAGTGACAGTTTGTGTGTTTGTGTTTCTTTTGCTTTTTGTGCGAGTGAGGGACGTCTGTGTGTTTTGGGCTCAAGCTGTTTGTTTTGGTTTCTCTCTTTGTTCTCCCTCTCTCTCCTTGGGCGGAGTTTTGTGGGCCTCACTGTGGCTGGTGTTCTCCTCACATAATCGGCTAATTGGTGCACCTGCTTCGCTGCCCGTGATCAGCTCTCCCATAAGGCCTGTACCACGAGACAAGTTCAACACACCGGGGATATCTTTGCCTTATCTGGCTTCATTAACCCTGACGATTGGGATTGGGATAAGCGGTCCCACGAAGCTGGTTATCAACACGATAATGGTGCGTTCCATTTACCTCGGAAGTTGGAGGTCGGAGCTGGGAATGGCGTTACAGCCGAGTTGACGGCGTTCCAGTTAACAAGTCGGAAAACCTCGTTTGGCCAGCCACTGTTTACTAGCCAGGTTAGCAACTGATACGCCAGTTGATAAAAAAACGCATTGTGTGGTATTT